AGAGAGAGAGAGAGAGAGAGAGAGAGAGAGAGAGAGAGAGAGAGAGAGAGAGAATGCGCGTGGCAAGGAGCCCTTCCTTCACATACCGTGCAGGACGTACCACTTCAATGAACTGTTCGACCAGACATCCTGCCTCAATGGTCCTTGTCCGCCATGAATATAGACCTGATTCCGTCAGAGTGGGAGCTTGCCCAGGTTCTATGTCCCGACGCTTCCCAGGGCTTTTCAATAGCAACAGAGCAGCAGGCATCATTGATTGCAAGCTCATGGAGCAGAAGGCATCATCTATTATTACAGTGATGCGATGCATGTTCTCCTCGAAGAGAAAAGAAATGCAGTGTTCATTTCCAGCCCATAGAGGCGCTGATGTCGGGTTCTCTCTTTACACCTTTTAATTTCATGAAAATTGCACCTGTACCGCAATACCTGTTAAGCCCAGTACCTGCTAAGCCTAGTCCAGCGCCTAACTTGCATCTATACCCCGGAAATGGCCTGTGCCAATTATCTGCATGCACACTTCACACCTTTTAATTTTATGAAAATTGCACCTGTACCGCAATACCTGCTAAGCCCAGTCCAGCACATAACTTGCATCTATACCCCGGAAATGGCCTGTGCAAATTATCTGCATGCACAGGACAGGGGAAGCCCAAGCTTGAGTCTTTGATACTGCAATTTGGCTACAAGAGTGACCCGGGACCACCTGCCCAGCCGGAATATATATATATATATATATATATATATATATATACTAGCTAAGCGCCCGCGGTGCGGGCGGTGCAGGCGCTGCCCGCAGAAATAAGAAATGTTGTAGGCAACCTGACACGGGCCATTCGCATAAACTGAGACAGACTTAAAAAAAAAAAAAAAAACGAATCACGGGATAATAAAGAATAGCCTGAAAATGGCTACAAAGTCTGAGTTTAATTCACGAATTAAAAAAGTGACAAATAGAAAAAAAAAAGAAAAAAAAGTGGAAGAAAAGGCGACGAGAGACAGACAATGAGCGAGAGAAAGAAATAAAAAGATAGATAGATAGATAGATAGATATATATAGAGAGAGAGACAGAGAGAGAGACAGAGGGGAGCAACAAAAGAGCAAAGAATAAAGGAAGACGGACACGAGTATACAAAGAAAAAAAGTTTCATATGAAAATTTTCCGTTCTGTTACAGTAAGCAAGTGGCCACATTATGATAAAGGCACAATTATCGCATAGTGGAATCAACGTCCACTTTAAAAAACGCAATAATATTACGTCAAAATTATTTAAGTCATTTCCCTCTCTCTCTCTCTCTCTCTCTCTCTCTCTCTCTCTCTCTCTCTCTCTCTCTCTCTCTCTCTCTCC